GGGCGTTGGAACCCCGCGCGGGCGGCAGGGCTGTCCGGTGGGGCGCAGGCGGTGGGGGCGCAGGTGGGCGCAGAGCAGAGCGCGGGGCCCCGGCCTCCTGCGCTCGATGGTCTGCTGAGCAGCGCAGACCCGCGCGCCCTCCCCGAGCTCTGCCCCCGGGAGAAACGTTCACACCTGCAGGGCGCGTCTGGTTTATCTGAGCCGACTGACGACAGCTGGCGGGGAGCGGAACCCGACCCGCTGGGAAGGTGCCCGGAGCAGGGCGGCTTTGCGCCTTGTTTTATGCGTTGCAATCAAAAGAGGAGACACAGGAGGTTTACGAGAAATCCGTGGGTGATAGACGAGGGAGGCGGGAGCCCCAAAGCCGGGAAAGCCCTGGGGCTGGATGGAAAGGGTGCAGGGTAGTTAAGGCTCAACAGTGAACGTAATAGCGGAGGATTTGTGGTCTCCGCCCCGTGCACTGGGCGCCGCCCGGAGGGGCCCGGAGAAGGGAAGTTACCTTGACATTCCAAAGGTAGGTTATCTTGGGTGCAAAAGACAGTGGACAACAGACAGGCGCGGTTCAGATAAAGATTTGCCGGGGAGGATGCCGGCCTAGGGTGGGACTACCCACCTTAAACTGCTTTTAGTTAAAAAGTTTTCATTTCAGCCCGGCCGGCGTGGCTCAGTGGCCCGAGGTCACGGTTCGATTCCCACTCAGGGCACATGCCTGGGTTGCCTGCTCGATCCCCAGTAAGGGGCGTGCCGCCTCACTGAGGTTTCTGTCTCTCCCTTCCTCTCTCTGAAGTCAACGAAAACGTATTTTAAAAAATAAAGGTTTTTTTAAAAATATATATCTTTATTGATTTCAGAGAGCGGAAAGGAGAGGGAGAGAGAGAGACAGAAACATCAACGATGAGTCATTGATCGAGCCCACAACCCAGGCATGTGCCCTGACCAGGAATCAAACCCTGATCGCCTGGATCCCAGGTCGATGCTCAACCCCTGAGCCACGCCCGGCTGGGCAAAAAATAAAAAGTTTTAATGTCAGACCATCCTTTGTGGTTTCTTTAGGTCTCTGAGTTTGCGAGGCGGCCACGCAGGCCTCCCCTGAGCTAATCAGGGGAGCATGTGGCCCCTTCTTGTCCACACTCATCAGAACTCAGGTACCGAGGTTGCTGAACCCCAGGTCCAGTCTGACCCCCTGGGCCTAACACCTGACGCCCTTCCCACCGCCTACAACAGGACTCGAGGGGTCAAAACTGAATGCAGAGGTGGGCCTCCGAAGCCTGGGGCCACAGGAGGGGACCCTGCTCAGTGTGGGGTGTCTCCAGGATGGAGCCAGCGGTGCAGGCTGGAGTGCTGACCTCCAAAGAGTGTGTTTTGGAATGGGGGTGTCGCTGTAGCCCAAGCCCCTGTGTTGAGTCCCCTGGGACAGAAAGGTGAGACCACAGCCAACAACAGGGTTTAATTCCTAATCAGCACCACCCAGGGAAGGCTCCCGGGCTGGGGTCTGGCCTTGTGGGGCAGGGCCTACGCCATCGCAGGGCGGGGCCTACTTGGAGGCCACCTTCTTGGACTTGCTCAGGGACGCCACGATCTCCACCTGTTGCAGGGTGGGCACCTTAATGCCTTTCATCTTCAGCTGGTTGTAGAATTCGGTCCTCTCGGTGATGATTCTCTAGAAAAATGCAGCCCCGCTGCCCAGGCGGCACACCCTGCGGGCAGGGCCCACCGTTGCTCCCTGGGGAGGGCTGCTGCGGCCCTGCTGGCTGGGGAATATTTACAACCCGCTCTCTGGAGTGGGGGGAAGCTCTGGTTTGTAGCATTTGCCTATTTCTGTGCTGAGAACACTCCCCCGTGGCTGATCCGGGAAAAGGTGCCCACCGCTGGCTCCAGGGCAGCACAGCCCTGAAGCTTGTGCCCAGACCGCTGTGATACCCAGACCCTGGGCCTCAGGTCTGTCCTGCACAGGGAGGCTGCCGGGCCCCTCCCCAAGCCTCCTCTGGCCCACTGACAAAGGAAAGATGGTGCTGATGACTCCCCACC